TTGCTTTCTGAAATTATTTTCTGCTTTCACCATTTGAATCTTTTTAACCATTTCAGTTCAGCTTGACAGGCACTTCTTTCCTTTGGATTTAATGCTTTTTGAAAATTATTTTCCTAGATAGAGGAGAGGAGTAACTTAATACCTCTAGAGGAGGGAAGGGGTGTACCGAGTTTTCAGTCATCTTCTTTGTGTAGGTCACAGAAAATGAGTAAGCTGCTGTCTTTTTCTTGTTAAGTCAATAGCAAAGACATTAAGAAGGAAGCTTTGGGATGGGATATGAAGATGTAAATAGTATGGGCCTTAAAGGGCCTGGGGTGTAGGAGATGAAAGACCCTGGCTTGGAAATTCTGCGATATGGTGAAGTGTATGGAAAGCACAGGGCACAAATCAGCAATGGACTACACTTAAGTATTTTTCCTCATGCAACAACTTTTCTAATATTAAAGCTTGGCTGTGTAGATGCAGGTCAATTGCATCCTTTTTCTGCTTTTTGACTCTCCTCATAATCCCTTCCCAAGAAAACAAGACATAATGGGGGGGGGGATATAAATCTATAAGTATGTTACTTTTTCTTTTATTTTTGTGCAATTAAATTTTGAGTAGTTGTAGCAAGACCTTTTGTTATTATTATCATTTTAAACTACATTGACCTTAATAGCAAGGTAAATATTGAGCAGTTTCTTCAAGTCCATTATGGTGTATAGGCACCCTGAGGGTAATGAGTGTATCGGCACAGGCAACAGAATGAAAGCAAGATCTGTTTACAGAATTAGGCTATACTTAAGGATACTGAAACTTCTGCCAAACAAGGAGCACAGTGAAATTTCATCTGCCAGTTATGTTGGTTTTAATGTTCTTTAATTTAGCAGATAAGATAGTTTGGTTGTAATTAAGCTTTTCTAATATTGTTGTTCCCCAAGGTTGTGGTATAAATCATTTTACTCTGTCGTTTCCTGCATCATCACTGCCTTCATTTTTCCTGTATAATTCTTCCATAAACAGTCTCTGGGATGCAGGAAAACTTTGTGCTATAAATTGCTGCTTGTGTATATAATATAATTTTGAATACATGCAATTGAATTCCTTCTTCCCTAGTTTTTTATTCAGGTTTTCTTGGTGCTGTTTCTCTTTTCTATGTGTATACCATTCCTGCTGTGGTAACAAGTGGGGGGTTTGCCCAAAATTACTCTCATTGCAGTTTTACTCCCTTATTTTTCTATAGGTAGACCTGGCAACCAGGCTGAATTGCTCAACATTTGCTACTGAAGGACAAGAGGCAGTGGGCCCACTAGAATACGATATTCCATTTAAACATAAGAAAACCCTTCTTATTGTGACAAAACACTGTTTGAACACTGAATAGGTCACCCAGAGGGATGGTGGAGTCTCCATACTTGGAGATACTTAAAACTTGGCGCTCAGCAATACGGCAGTGTGCCAGAGTTGACCCTGCCCTGAGCAGGAACTCATGGAAAGGGACATGGAATATGTCCACAGTCCCTTCCTATGTCAGCCATTCTCTGGTTCTGTGAAGTTGTCTGGTTTGTCTTAGCTGTGGTTCACTTCAAGATAGCCACAGTTTGTATTTTCCTTCTACAAAGTTATGCAGCAAGGCATGTAGTCATTTTTTTCCTGCCAGTCTTTTCATCATTTTCTCCTCAGACAATTTTAGAAGAAATTCCTAACCAACTGTTAAAGTCTTGGACCGTATTTTACAAGTCTTAAGAAAGGCACCTCCCAACTTGAATTCCAGATCTATTCAATATACCCATTCAGCCTTTTTTATAATAAAACAGGGTTGGGAAAGGATGTTTTCAAGACTTGTTAAACAGAGGGCTAGTTTAATTTAAAATTTTACTTGGGTGGGAAAATATATTTTTCCAAACCATCCTTTCAGGATTTAATATGAGGATGAGGTAACATAAAAAAATTTGCAAGAGGTTGCAAGTTCTCTCTCTGTGAGCCTAGCTAGCCCTGTTATGCATTTGCATCTGACATTGTTTGAATGAAATGACCTAGTATAGATCTGAATTCCCCAGTTTTGGTAGAAACAAGCAAATACATACATATTGGTATAACATTCAACTTGCATTTTTGGTAAACCAAAAGGTGTTTCTTGGAAAACTGTTAACCCACTAAGCAAGCAACCTCATGGGACAGGATGGAAGCAATGAAGGAATTTGAAGCCCCAGTGGGCTGAGCTAGAACAGAAGAAATTAGAAGCCCATTCCAAACTCTTGAATCTTTTTGACTAATGTTTTTTTCAAAACATACTGTGTGAACTTGCATTCTTAAGCTTCCTTTCAATCTTACTGTTTGACTTAAGAAATAGTGCTCTCCACAGCAACCAGACTTTCATTAATATACTTCTTAACCATGAAAAAGCATATCTAGAACTAGTGATAAACTAGTTCAGTTAACTTAGCAGTAAGTATTTGTATGATAGTATGTGCTGTGAGGTCTGATCTTAATAATATATGTAATTATTAACCATGTACACAGGGTGTTCCACCTAAAAGTAGTTTAGGGGGTGTGGAAAAGAAAATCTACAGTATTTTCTGTTTATTGTCCTATGTACAGCTTTTTTTTTCTTTGAAAAAAAAATCCTCGTGCTGCAACAGAATAATTTGAAGTTCAGCACCAATAGTTCATATTACGTTAATCTAAAATATTTAAATATCAGGTAGTAGAGGCATACTACTTTGTTTTATATAACAGAGAAAGTATTTTTCTGTGTTCCAGAAGTTACAAAGCAGGCGTACATCCACTACAACATTGTGCATTTTGCTGTCAGATTTGAACTCCTCCAAATCATCCAAGTTTTTGAGACTGCACCATATTCTTTTCATTATGAAAGAAACCAATGCAGTGCAAGGAAGTCCCTTTATGCTTCCCCACTCTACATATGCCATTTTATCACATGCTAGGTAAAACTGCTTTTAGGCATTCCTTCTCTTTCAGGACAGGCCTTGCCATTTTACTTGGGGACATCTTTCCTTGTCGTTTTTCCCTGTTACCTTCAGCCCCTCCTTCCTCCCTGGTGGTACTGTAGTTGTGCTAGTAACTGGTACCTTTCTCTCTCCAGTATAGTGTCAACTCCCCATCAGTCAGTGCAAGAAGAGGTAGTGGCATGTTTCTTGCTCTGCCCTCTGCTGGTTTAGGAACCTTCTCTCATGCATTGTAACTGTAATGTAATGCTTTGTGCTATGTTATATTAATATTGCTTGTCACCATCTGAAAACAACTCACTTCTGCTTTGTGTTAATAAAAAAAAAAAGAAAAAATAAATAGAATTGTTTAAATAATAACAGTGGAGTTTTGATCAAGATTGAGTGAAATAAGCTGCAAATACCTTGTGTTAGATAGTTCTTTCAAAGATTAAATTACAGCAGTGAACATGTTATAACTCAGCTGCACTTTGCATCAGGTTTTGTTTTATAAATGAGGGCTATTTTTCTCTCTCCCTTTCAGCTTCTGAAATTCACAAAGATACTTTTACAGCCACCATTGTTTAGAAAGTTGGCTAAGATAGCTTTTAAAAAGCCCAAACACTGTAGTTAACAGTATGGAGTGTAGTGCAGATGTGCACATGTTACATGAAGACTAGTGAAAATAAATTTCCTTTAAAGTATTGATGGGTTTACATACCTTTTTCATACATCTCTCATGGTTCTATTTTTTTCTCCGTTTTTAGCTTTGCATATTGCACAAAACATTTCAGACTTGAAGCAACTGAGTTAAACATAAAACATTCTAAGGAACAGTGCTCCCTTATGTATATATAACTATGAAGTACTGCAAGTATTTGTTGGTATTCAGTCTTCTAGGATTTCCTCTGTGTGTTTAATTTCCTGGAAGAATTTAAGTGAAATTTGGGGGAAAAGACGCATTTGCAGTTAACTTTGCTGGCCGTATATTTTTTAAAGTGTGGTTTGTGATTAAGCTGCAAGTGTGTTACTTACAAATAGGAGACTCTTACATTATGCCAAGGATGTCGAGTTTTAAGTAAGTGTGTTTTGTTTGTCCAGGCCTTTGTTTAGATGTGAAAGTTATAATAAATCTTTCTCATTTACTAAAGTTTTTATACTCCTCCTTTCAATTTTTTAACTTGTTTTATTACGTTTTAAATATTGTCAAATTTAAATTATGGTTCTGGGAAATTTAGCTGGCTTTATTTTCTATTCAGTAAAAACAGTTGGAAGGTTTCTTCTGGTTTTTGTAAGACTGGATACTTGAATGTGTTACTTAAATTTACTTATTTCTATTGTTTAGAAATGTTTATATTAAAAAACAAAAAACAAAAACAAAAAACCTTTTTGTTTAGCCTGCCCTTTTTTTCTGAAAGCAGCAAGCTAAGATGTATCTCTGGGATTATGAATGCCACCGATGGTGTGGCACCATGTAATGGTGACTATCTTGTTACATGCTTTTCTGTGACTTCAGTTTTAAAGCCCTGTCATCTCCTTTCTGCCTTTCGTTTCTGTTCCTTTTGTAATATTTGATTCCTGAACCTTTTCTTCATGAGTATTCAAAAGCAGTTTTTAACACTGAAGGATTGCTCTGTTGGCAATCCTTTGGAGTGATTCATACGGAGTTTTTGTGTACCGTGTCTGTTCCACTTTCTTAAAAATATTAGGTTGCTTAACTGCGAGTATGTTTTATCTGCTTAACCCTTGAAAAGCTTCCAAGAAAGCAATACTGTGTTTGTAGTACTTGTTAATTTGGTCAGTTGGGAAGGGTACTCTAAATTGGTTTCTTTGTAGTCTTTAAAAAAAAAAAGCATGAGGTTCCAAAACACAAACAAAATCCCCCAAATGATATTTTGAAGCCTAAATTCTTGTTAAGTAACCATGTAAAACAAAACAGCCTTCACAGTACAAAGAAGTCTTTTCCCCGTCTTGTTGAAAATAATGTGTACTATTCACAGAATTGAGTTTGTCCAGTGTTTGTGGTTGTTTTACATGGAATATGCTTCATAGCTTTTATTTATTTTCAGGAAGAACAGAACCGGGGCAAGCCCAACTGGGAACACCTGAATGAAGATTTACATGTACTTATCACTGTGGAGGATGCTCAGAACAGAGCAGAAATAAAACTGAAGAGGGCTGTTGAAGAAGTAAAAAAGTTACTGATACCCGCAGTAAGTTGTTTGTATACAAGTCTTCTGTTTCCATTTCTAGAAATTACATATGAAATACAATTAATGCTGCAGCAGTAGGGGTGAGGTTGCAGAGCAGCATCCTCAAATGAAATTTAGGTATTATTTTGTAATCCTCTGGTGATCTTTAACGTGTCTCATCCCGGATAAAAATATTCCACAGAACAGAATATATTTTTAAGAGATGTTATTTTGGGGATTTTTTTTTGCCTGGTGGGGGGTGTGTGTTTGTTTTGGGTGTTTTTTGTCTTTTTTAGAAAGAGATGCAGATCACCTTTAAAAGGCAATGCTGAACTGTTAATAAATACTAGCTTTCTCACCTTTCAGTGTAAGGATGCTTATGTTTAAGGCTGGGGAAATATGACATGCTTTTATGTTTCACTTTGAGGTGAGCATGATACTTAGATCGTTACATTGAACACCTTCCAAAAAGAACAAAACCCTTCAGCATATACTGTCAATATGCTGGGGAAAAATAAACATCGTGCAGCTGGAAAATTGATTATCTTTCTCATTTGCTGAATGTATGAACTGCCTTCTGCCCAGCCAGATGACTTAAAGCCTTTTGGAGGAACCAGAATTATCCTTGAGAACCTTTCTTTTAGATCTGCTCTGCATTCTCACTCAAAGCAAAGGGATTCAGGGTGGCTGTAGAGCGTATCCCATGCAATTAGCTTGCATCTTGTTATTTTTACCACCACTTCTGTGCCATTATAAAATGGTAAAAATGAATCGCATCTTCTTCAGTGGTGGAAATAAGTTTCCATATTGCAAGAAAACATTGAGATTATCCTGTGAAAAAAAAAGTAGTAGGTGGTATTAAAATGACCAAATGATTTCGGGCACTTTGGTGAATGCTAATAGATGCTGGCTATGAGGAAACTTGTGCTGACATATGCATATTTATTCAGAATACATTTTTAGAAGTTACCAAAGATCAGATACGCTTAAGAAGTTTGGGTGCTGCTTATTACATGTGCAAGAGTTAAAGGTCTGTTGTCTCCCATTTCTGAGCATTATGGCTTGTTGAAACGGGTGTGTGTAATACCCACTAATGAATTAATATATAGGTGAACTCGTGTAGTACATACAAATGAATTAGTATGTAGGTGGACTTGCTTTTTGTTCTATCTATTGCATCTGTTCAATTAGTATAAAATAATGGCTGCTTAATCAATGTATGGTTTCAGGTAGTTTGAGAGTTGAAAAATTCTGGTTTAGGATACAAATTGAAAGCTGCTGTGAAGGAAGCCATAAACCTTTAAATAATCAGGTTAAGCATGAGGGGTGAAAAATAAATCCTAGCTAATTACAGTGAGATGTGGGGAAACTCTGGATGCTGGAAGGTTCCAAAGATGCTCTTAACATGTAAGAATGGAAAATTGGGGATTCCTTTTCACATGGTAGAATACCTGTAACTATGACTGTTTTCCAAATAAATGTCAGAGGATTAAGATTTATAAATTAGATTAATGCATTTTTTTGTTTTAGCTCCATTTACCTTGAATAAAATTTGAGATTATACAGGAGAAAATGTGCAGTCTCATGCCTGCCCTGTAGTGGCAATGCTTTGTTCTTCTGAGATACATTTCAGAAAAGCAAGCTAGTGTTAGAGATGGGAATGAGTTATTAATTTCTTGGAATAATCAGTTATTTTTACACTGAAGATTCCAAAAAGTCTTTATTACATTTTATAGCAACAGTGCACAAATAGGCACATTTCTTAAATAGATTTCCATTTTGGAGGTACTTGGGTGAAGAGATACTATTTCAGTAGTAAAATGTGCTTCTTTATGAATCTGGATCATTAGTGATTTTTTTTTTTCTCCTTGTGGATGTGCATTTTTAATTTCCCTTCCCCCTTGCTATTGGATTCTTACCAAGATGGTGGTATAGTCAAACAGTTTTTCTTTACAAATCAAATGCACAACTTGAGGCCGACTGGCTGAATAAGACATCTTTTTTCCATAAGGGCTAAAACAAGATTTTTTTTTTTTAATATACGTATTATTATTTTGTATTTAATTTACATTTCTTTGGTATGATTTTTTTTAATTCTTATTATTTATTTTGGCTGTACTTAATGTTCTGTAGGACTAATTCTTTTGTTGTATTTCAGTGAGATTCTGGTCATTACCTGGACCTGTAGGATAGTATAGTACTGCCTCTTTCTTGTTTTTCTCTGAAGAAAAGTGGGAAGAATAAAGCAGTCTGCAGGCTTGTGGGATCTCACTGAGGTGTACCGTTCTTATCCCTCCTAAAGTGAATCCTACAGGTTATTGATCTTTCTTCATTGTGAGATCGCTGGGAGTTTGTTATTTGTGAGAGTTCAGTAAGGATAGGCAGTTCTCTTGGAAAGACAAAAGATGCTTTGGAGTGTGCACTGCAGAATGTAAGGAACAACTTGGAGCCTGTGTAGAAGAATGTACATAATAAGTATAGGATACTAAGTTCCAGTGACATTAAGGGTTTGGAATTACTCTCTAAGGTCTTAGGCAGTAGGGCTGAATTCCTCTGCTAGAAATATATTAGGCTTTTAAGTGTTCTAAGAAGTGTTGAATGCTCTCATCTAGCTGAATGTGTTTTCTAGATGCTCTTCTAGTTACAGAGATGTCTCTCTACTAATCCACCTTCATACTGTTTTTTATATAGGATGAGGTACATACAACAGAATTCAATTTTCAATGCATACATATTTGATGCATAACATCAACTGCATACACTTTTAATCCCTTTTTCCTTTGACTTCACATTCTTCCTTTCAGAGGAAAAGGTCATATTTGTGGCTTCTACTTAATTATTCTAATTGGTCTGGAATCAGTGTTTTTCAAGTTGTTTCTATTGTTCTTCCTGCATCAGGACAGCTGTAATTTTACTTGGTCGATTCCTCCATCTTGTCTGAAGACAACTGCAACATGGTATTAGTCAGTGATGCTCCCTGTCAAACTGTGTATATCATTTGCCACTACAATAATAGAATTATAAGATTGTGATGGCTAGGAAATAGTGTTTCAGTAGAAGATTATTTAATTTTGTTAGTACATTAGGTCCTTGCCTGTAATAGTGACTTTAGACTTCTCAGTCTTGAATATCTTTGAATTTGGCTATATGGTCTTCATTTTTACCTTGAGAACTTTGTGTGCTGTGAATTCCATAGCAAAAACTTGATGGAGTATAAAGAACTTTAAGAATTTTTAATCGTGCTTTAGTTAAGAAAAAAAAAAGTGGATATTGTAGTAATGCTGTACATAGTTTACCCTGTAGCGATAACTATCAAAAGCTTGAAAACGGAAATATAGTAGGAGATGATTTCATTTGTTTTAGCCATCTAAAAAGCCACATTAAATTCTGCATGCAAGTTTTTCTTTCCTGATTAATTCTAATGTACTCCTGCATGGTGTGCTGGTTTTACATTTTGCTTTCACAAGTGAGAGAATATAGTGCCACCTTCTATAGTCTCCATGTTGAAATGTTGGTTGTGCTGTTCAATCCGTTGTTTGCTGCTTATTCAATTGAAGTTAGCAAATGAATAAGTGATACAGTAACAGAAAAGGGATACTGCTGTCCTTAAAGTTTTTTAGGAAATTCCTGCATTACATCTGTTTTATCAGGTCAGATGCAAGTGTCTCACAGTGCACATCATGTAAATGATCAAAAGGGGAGCTCTGTGGATAGAGTAATGAATCATAGAATCATGGAATAGTTAGGGTTGGAAAGGACCTTAAGATCATCTAGTTCAAACCTGCCTGCCATGGACGGGGATGCCTCACACTAAAATGAAGTAACCAAGCTTCTTGGGAGTGACTGCTAGATGACACGTGGTAAACTTTTTGATGTGGAGGAGAGGTGATAGTGTGTTATTTTTAGTAGTGTGAAGCAGACTTAATGTTTCCATGATAATATGAACCAAGGGCTGCTGCAGTCCTGCCATTCCTTTATGATTTGCTGTTCCTGCTTCCTGTTTAGCATTAGAAAGTACTGGCCTTCATCTGACCGTGTAGCTAGTCCATTTGGTGAAGAGCTTAACCTTGGATTAACTGACTTGTTATGGAGTCAGTTTTATTTTAGCACTGACAGAAGTGATGGAATGAGAATGCGCAGCCCGGAAAAAATGGGATAGCAGCAGACAGACCACCCTTAAATAAATTTAACCTTCTGTAGAACTGCGAGTGAGTATGTTCACCTGCAGATAGGATGAGAACAAAATAATCAGACACTCCCTGTAGTAGAATATGACAGTGGAAAACAGAAGAGGAAAGCCTACTTGTGTGTACTTTTTCCTCTTTGCCACTGTCCAGTTTGTCTAGTACTGGTAATTTCAGTAGCTTATTCACAAGTTGCATAAAGTATTAGTTACGTTGAGCAGTCCTTTAGTAAATTGTGGTATACGTTTTATCAGTCTTATCCTGCTGAAAGTTCTTACTGTAATGCAAGTCCAAGTTTTAAATATGAGGACAAGAATCTCTTACATCAGTTCACATCGGAAGTGTTTACGCATTGTACTTGATAGGTTGTTGCAGGGTTAAATTTTTCATCTTACTCTAGTATTGACAATTAGCAAAATTATTTCAGACCAGCTGCAAGTGTGAAACAGCTCTCTCCATCATTGTGTGCTGTGGTGGAAACTGTAGGCCAGTGGTTCATTGGCACCAAAAAAAGTCTGTTGATGGAAGTGATTTTTTTGAGATCATACTTACTACAAGATATTGATGTGATTTACAACTTAAGTGAATAAAACCTTGTTTAAACTCTATTAAATACATCAACTCTCCTGAAATATTTTTGTAGTACTAAGGAGAAAAGTAATATCAGAATATTGTTTGTGAGAACAGTTTTGAAAGCAGATATAAAATGTGCTCACTTGTGATTATTAATTTGTTTTCAACTTCCCATTTTCCAAAAGTTGTCAAATAAAGGGAAAATACAAACTTATGAGGATCTGTGCACTCATGTATTTCAGTTGATCGTTTTACAAATTTTGA